TTCCCTACTGTTTCAAATGAACAAAGTATCTTGAACGTGATATAATTTAACCCCTGCTGTTAGAAGACCTGCCACGTTTCTCTCCCTTTCAAGCGTTGTCAGGCATATGGGCAGGTGATACACGCAAGACTTCGGTTCAACACTCCCATTTAAATAAAGTTATTAAATTTACATTCTTCAAAATCATTTTGCTCAAGAAGTTGCTAAGTGCAAGAAATGATATTGAGAAGCAAGGAGCTTTTATGGAGACAAATTAGGTATTATAAAAAAAAGCAGAGGTAATTCTTGGATATACGTATTTGTTTCAAAAAAGCATTGAAGAACAGATACTACCCAAAAGATGAAACACCTTCCAGTCGTGGCCACGACTGCCTGAGGAGCAAATATGTCAATGCTTGCCACCTCCAGGTCAGCTTTTTGCTGTGCAGAATTAGAAACAGAATTCCCTCTCTTTTGCTTGAGAAGGAACTGTCTATCGTACCAGGCATATGCAATAAAGGTAAAAACAAGTAATCCAACCTGTTGCTTTTTAGCCTGAATTGTTGTTGGCATTGTGACTAATAGACACAAAAAGATAAGAATCTCTTATTCCATTCTGAGTCAAATCTCTTTTCTGGAAAACTTCAGTTAGCAAAGGTCACGTACTTGTCAGACTTCACCTATAGTTCTCATCCTGAACCTTCCCCTTCCTTCAGAGATTTGCTTTAGAAGTAGCTATTTCTCATAACCAAAATCCCAATTCTACAAGAGTCAGTACAGAAGCGGACTCCGCTCCCGTGCACGTTGCTGCTGCTGGCACAACAATGCGTACAGCTCGTGTTACCGGACTCCTCTTTGGCACAGGTTTACCTACTTCGAACCCGAGCAACTTCCCCGAGGGACCAGAGTCAGGGTCTCAAGAAATGTGCCACAGAACTGGGGACAAAAGCAGATGACAACCTAGAGATGAATTGTACCTTACAGCATATCCTCACTTGCTTTTTTCATAAAATGCTACCAAATTAAAATGTGAGTGAAAGTCACGGTGAAGAAAACTATGTTTAGAAACAAGGAAAATGCCAAGTTGCATTACTTTTCATGTATTTTGATTACTCTGTGAACTATTGGAATGTCTCTGCCTTCAACTTTAAAAACAACTATTTCACCAGCTCTGATAGGGTCGTCATGGAAATTTGTTAAGAACAACAGGTCTCCCCTGTGAAAAGCTGGTTCCATGCTGCCACTGCGAACAAAGAGAAAGAGAGAGTTTATCAGCATTATGGCATATGAAAGAACACCACGAAAACAAAGAACATTTAATTTTTACAGATAAACTCACAATTTTGACTGAAGTCTGTAGCTTCAGCCATTCCGTAAGGCTACACAGACATTTAACAAACCCAAACCTCAGCAAGGCCCAAGCTGAGCCAGCCCACAGAAGACTTCCTCACTGCCTCAGTGAAAGAAGGGAGCGAGCAGTATAGAAAAGTAGCAGTACAGTAGCTCTGATGAAGGAACAAACTGAGCCATTCTGGTTAAGAAAACCAATCCATTACTGAAAAGCCAAAGAATGCTTCCCAGTACAACAGGAAGTACTTCTCTGCATAGCAAGAGTTTAATTAACATGAGCAAGAGTTACACTTGCATCAGTGATTTATGATCAGAAAAACCATGCCTTTTTTCCAAAGCCAGCCATAGTATCTTTTGGTAACAACCTTTAAGGTAGGATTCCAGATCCCATAACTAATAACATGAACAATTACTATTAAAGTACTGTTATTTTACTGCATACATTCCTTGCTGACACACATTCAATTTCTTTAAGGCTGACTCTTCCATGAACACGTGTTTAACTTCATGTGTTTGATCAGCACTCGGGCGCCTGGCTGTAAAGACTGGCTTTTTATATACCAGAAGTAAGGCACCACTGAGAGAGAAGCAACACACAAGTATAATTTACTCATAAAACGTTTTACTGTAATACAATTTTAAAATAAATACACATATGGGAAAAAAAAAAAAAAAGAAATTAACAAATACACCAGAATCTGTTCAATGGCTTCTGGAAGTGCAACACATTCACTTATTTTCTCCAGGAGACAACAGAAACTTCACAGGATTACATGTATTTATATGAAAGCAGAATTAACCTTTTGGAATCCTAACTCCTACACAGGGATTACTATCCCTAGGTAGCAATATGTAGATGTAAGCAATCTTGAGTAGTTTACCTGTTACTTAAGTGAACAAGCTGAGGTTTTCAAAGGTTTCATACTGCTTTTACAAACTGCGATGAAAACTAGACTGCAATTACAAAAGCAGCCTTTGCCCAGTGTCCAAAAACAGTTAGTAGAAAGTAAGTGTTTGAGTACTTCTTAAAGTAGGTGAGATTTCAAACTCCAAATCTATCCAAGGGGGAAGGGGAGAAGACAAAGGACAAAACAATATTTAGACTTTAACAAAAAAGCCTTTACATTGACTTACCTGAGCACCACAACAATAGGGCTTTCACTTCCAGTAACGACGATCAGCCCTTTCCATATCATAAGGGCAGAAGACACTATCATGGCAAAATTTAAGACTTGGTAGTACAGCTATATGAAACAAGAAAATTGTTTTTAAAAGTTACTGTCTTGTATTTAGAAGCACAACATAGAATTTCAACCCACGTGCACCACTGAATCCCAATCCAGGCATGTGGACTTTTATGCTAAAATCGTATTCCAAGAGAAGCCTCATGGAACAGATGGCCGTATGGGCAATCCAACCACTCAAACCATACTGCAACATAAAGTTTTAATCCGCTGTGTGCCTCAATCTTGGCTTATTAGGTCTGTGCAATACTGCCATTTGTTAGTACTAGAAGCTGGTGAGCTCACCAGCAAAGACTTCCGAAATACAGAAAGCTACACAGCAAATGATCAAATCTGTTTTGATCACACATCCCTGACTCCTAGCTGAGCTCAGAAGTATTCAAGACACACATAAGAAATACTATAACGTTTTTGTTTAGAAAGAGGAGCTATGGGGGTAGAGGAGAGACAGCAAAGGATAATTTTCTGCTATTGTCAGGGAAAAGCTTCTTATATGGAAAATCTTTTATTGATTTGACTAACCTTCTGCCCCCAAATTCTAATGCTTCACCAGCTGTTACAGCAGTACATATGTTTTCTTCACACTACCTCTGTTTGTTTTTTTTCTGGGCACCATACGAGGATACTCTGGTGGAAAATGGCTCTGCCCATCTCCATCTATCATGGGGCTCACTGATGGGAAATATGGAACCAGAAATTTCCAGACCACCATTCTAGTTTGAAAAGACATACGCTGGGATTTTCAGGTATGTGACCCATTTAACAGCATTGGCCAAGCTTCAATATCTGCTCTGAAGGTTTTGGGGTTTTTTTTTGTTTGGTTGGTTTGTTTTGTTGTTGTTTTTTGGGTTCTGTTTTTTGAAGTGATTGATAGATACTAGAAAAAACCCACACCAAGGAACTCCCACAGCCTGGAAATCAGAAGGTTTGTCACCACTCGTGCAGCCTCCCTTCCAGGCAGTTACTTGCACAATCACATAGCAAAGGTAAAGCAAAGACACCCATTCTGAGCGACAGGAGCTGGATTTGTTTTGTTGTTGTTTTTTGGGTTCTGTTTTTTGAAGTGATTGATAGATACTAGAAAAAACCCACACCAAGGAACTCCCACAGCCTGGAAATCAGAAGGTTTGTCACCACTCGTGCAGCCTCCCTTCCAGGCAGTTACTTGCACAATCACATAGCAAAGGTAAAGCAAAGACACCCATTCTGAGCGACAGGAGCTGGAAGACAGGCGTTTGTTGCAGGCGCTGCTCCCGCAGAACGCTGCCGGCAGCCGACAGGAACCTGACAGGAACGCCCGGAC